AAATGCATGCAAGTGCGGGAATTAATTTAGCTCATGGATGAGGTCCCCACTCTTGCCACTCAGGTGTATTAACCATGAAGATGGGAACATAGTGATTCACACAGCACTTGGTCCAGTTTCCAAGCACAGCAGGTGCTTTCCAGAAAGGTGGAGTACAGAGTATATCTAATCGCATGGTGATACTCATAGTCATGGGGTCATTATTCATTGGTCATGAACAGCATTTATAAGAAATAGAAACTCTTTTTGAGTGGAAATTGATCACACAATTTGAGTAAAAATTATGTTTAACTGAAATTTAAGTGATCCTACTGTGGAGTATAGGAACAAATGGAATCACTTTGCCACCACATACCACCCTGGCATGTTTTCCATTTTAGGTCACATATGGTCTGTCATATGTTGGTCACTGTTGGCATTTATAGTTTCTAAGTAACAGTAAACAGTCTTTAGATATTGACCATTTCTGCTAGATGTTTAGGATCAAGTGAGATTTGATCCTAAACTTTGTCCATCCTATGAAGGCCAGTAGGTTGTTCTTTGGGAACATGTATAGTGCCCCTTGGTACTTTTGGCAGTGTCCATTGTCCAGATAAGTCATGACTATTGCTTGAACGTGTCCCTGCCTGTGAAGGTTTGCAAGATTTTGGTGACTCTCCTTAGGCAAACTATATACCATAGTACCATTCTTATTCCTGTAGCCCATAATTTTCTTCATCAGAAGATCAGAGACTCAGCTGAGTCAGAGGATGTCCCATCACTGCATTTTGAACTGAGCCAGTTTTCCCACGGGCTGTATCCTGCCCCCATGGAAAGTTATCAGTCTAATGTTCTAACAGAGTTTGTGGACTCTCAGTGATTCGCTCAAGTCTATGCTGAATTTTGAACTTCATCTATGTATTCAATTCTTGGTGTCTGCACCTCATTGTTGAACATCAAGAAAAGAATATTCGTGTCATACTATGGTAGTGTTGTGGATTCATATTTAAGTCCAATAGAATGTTAACAAACAAGTTACACATTTTTTCACAGTATTTAGAAATGAGTACTATACATAACTGTATCACGATGATCATGATGGTGTTTTGTAACATCTTTAAATATTTAAGAGCTGAGATTTTCAATGATACTAAGTCATGGCAGAAAATCACAGATGCTGTGAAATACCTGAAGGACTGGCCCAGCTGAAACTCTTTTAATGCCTCAGCATGTGGCTCACAGCACAGCTACTTTTCGAGCCTTTTACCGGGTCTCTATGACACAGTTGTTCCAATACTACCAGGATGACTTTGGGGCTTGGGATCATATCTGAAAACTCCTCTCTTGAGCACCACATGATGCTTTCATGCTGAAGGTGACTTTGCATGCCATTGAACTGTAGAATTTCTAAGAATAATTGGCTGCTGTTGGAGATATCAACGATTTGTGCTCAGGCTTAATGAGTCTGTTTTCCTACACCACATCACTGCCTCTCTGGAACGTGACTTCCGGGCAGAGCTGCTTGACTAATCACTTATTGGACTGCTGTATAGTCACAGTCCTGGCTCCAGTGCTCTAACAGCTTTTGTGTCAATTTTATCTTTCACTCAGTTGGCATGGAGTTGTACAGTGGTAGTGGACCAGCTTTAGAACCTGGGGCCCATATGG